ATCTCCAATGTTTTCATCTATTTTTCCTTTTTTAAAAAGTTTATTTAGATACAGACAGAGACAGCATAAGTGGGGAAGGGGCAGAGAGAGAGGGAGAAGAAAGAGAATCCCAGGCAGGCTCTACATCGTCAGCACAGAGCCCAACACAGGGCTCAAACTCACAAAACTGTGAGATCATAACCTGAGCTGAAACTGAGAGTCTACGCTCAACCAACTGCACCACTCAGGTGCCCCCATCTATTTTCTTGAATGTATTAATCACAATTTTTATAAAGTCTGATGATTTCAGCATCGATCATTTATGGGAGTGTTTCTGTTATTTTTTTTCTTTTTTTAAAGTTAAAAAAATATTTTAAGTCTATTCATGCATCCATTCTGACAGAGACAGAGAGAGTGAGCAGGGGAGGGGCAGAGAGGGGGCAGAGAGAATCTCAAGACTGATATGGGGCTCAAACTCATGTGAGATCATGACTTGAGCTTAAACCAAGAGTTGGACACTTTTTTTAAAAAAATTTTTTATTATTTTTTTATTTTTTATTATTTCTAGGAGAGAGAAAGAGAGAGACAGCGTGAGCAGGGGAGGGTCAGAGAGAGAGGGAGTCACAGACTGAAACAGGCTCCAGACTCCAAGCTGGCAGTCAGCACAGAGCCCGGTGCGGGGCTCGAACCCACGAACCGCGATATCATGACCTAAGCGAAAGTCGGACGCTTAACCGACTAAGCCACCCAGGCGCCCCAAGAGTTGGACACTTAACTGACTGAGCCACCCAGACACCCCATCTTATTTTTTCCTCTTGATTTTCAGTAATTTGGCCTGTCTTCAGTAACTTTACCTGTAGACTTTTTTTTTTTAATTTGGAAGATTCTATAAAAAAATTTTTACAAGTTACAGGGTATTTTGCCAGAAGAAGAGGACAGAGCACTTTGGTCCAATGAATAAGTGAGACGATTCAAGGCTGGTTTTCATTCTCCTGAGTTTGTCCTTCCTTTTAGAATGTACCTCTGCAGGGGGCATCAGATGAAAGCCTGGCCTGTCTTCCTTGGTCCAAGTTTTGTCTCTCTAGTACATAAGGCTCTCTAGCTTTTCAGCCTCATAGCCTCTGTTTTCTATTTGGCTTCTTCATCTTTTGCCCCAGGCAGCTTAGTTAGGAATCTGCAAATGCATCGGAAGTGCAAAGTGACTCAAAAGCTCTGCTCTTCCCTCTTCCCCAGGATTGTAGCTTCTCAGATATTAGCTGCCTTGAATCTAATGCTTCAAATAGAGGTCTTGTTTTGATTTTTTTTTCCCTTCAGATTTTGGAGTTATTTTTGGCAGGAGAGTTGGTCTGATAAAAGCTACTCTATCACACTACACAAAAGTCATCTCTAAATGCCAGCTCTATGAGAAAAGGATGTCATTTTTCTTATTTATGGCTATTTCCTCTAGAACAGTGGCTAGTACAAAAAAAAAGGAGCCTTCAATAAACATTTATTTTAATTAATATAAGAATTAGACCCTATATCTGTCCTTGACATTGGTATCACTTACAGTCCTGCATATCTATCCAAGGGGATCTAGAAGGATTGATGTTTTCCTTTTAATATAATCCCTTAATCACAACACCCCCCAGCAATAAACATCCATTCTAATGTGTTTAATGCGTATCTTTAAAAAATTTTTTTTGCAAAACATCTAATGCCATTTTATTTTATTTTTTTAATTTTATTTATTTATTTTGAGGGTGGGGAAGGGCAGAAAGAGGGAGAAACAAAATCCAAAGCAGGCTCTGTGCTATTAGCCTAACACAGGATTTGAACCCACCAACTGTGAGATCATGACTTGAGCCGAGATCAAGAGACAGACGCTCAACTGACTGAGCCACCCAGGCACCCCTAGGGTCATTTTAAATTGACATAGATGCTGTTATATAACTTATTTTGTTCCTTTTTCTTTTCGCTAACCCTGTACCTTAAGTTCCAATTCATTTCTTCTGGTGGTTGCCTCGGATTCCATGGTTAACATCCACTGCATTTTACCTGATCTCATGCTTCCCTGAGTTCGAGCCCTGCATCACGCTCTGTGTTGATGGCTCAGAGCTTGGAGCCTGCTTCAGATTCTGTGTCTCCCTCTCTCTTTCTGCCATTTCCTTACTCATGCTCTGTTTCTCTCTCAAAAATAAACATTAAAAAATTTTTAAAGTTTATTTATTTATTTTGAGAGAGAGAGAGAGGGGCCATGTACAAGTCAGGGGAGAAGCAGAGAGAGAAGGAGAGAAAGAATCCTAAGCAGGCTCTGTGCAGTGCAGAGCCTAACGTGCAGCTTGACCCACAAACCATGAGATCATGACCTGAGCTAAGATCAAGAGTCAAACACTTAACCAACTGAGCCACCCAGGTGCCGCTAAGGGGATGATTTTTTCTATATCTTCCTCTCAACCTATCTGACATCCAAGTTCTGTGGATGCACTTGTGAGGTGGCAGACAAGTTTGGCCCACAGGATAACTTGGACTGTACACCATCCTGGAATGCAGAGAGCACCCAACTTGTCTTAATCTTTGGGTTTTGCTTTTGTATCCAGCACTTTCACTTCTTTTACCCTTTTATATGTTCTTAATGTAAACCTACCAATTTTAACATAATTTATTTGGAAGTGAAAAGGGCATAATGATGCTGGGAGGACCCTGAAGACAAGAACCCTAGCCTATTCAGCATTATAGGCCACTTCCTAAGACGCTCAAGTCAAGCTACCCCAGCTATCAGGAAGTCTCTATGAGCATTTTTAAAAAGAACAAAACAAACAAAAACTTCATTCCTGTCTGGATGTAACATCGTATATGGTAGTAGTACAAGAGTGTTGAAGGGTACAAGTATCATTGGTGTTCCCAAGTTACGAGAGGGTTCAAACTTCACCACCAGACTTCCTCAAGAGTCATAATAACCCTACTTAAATCCCACTTCTGGTCCCTGGTGTTCTTCCATTCCCCAACTCCCAACCTTCTGCCTACCTGAGAAACAGAGGAAGAGTGAAGAACCAAAACATTCTGCCTCATTTCTTATCATCCATTTTAACTATAGGTGTTGCTAAGAACCATCTCATTCTCATTCTCTGGCAGAAACTTTGCCTCAGCCCATTGGGTTGGCAGAAATAGCAAATGACCTGAGAATCTTTGGTGGGGGTTTCCCCCCCATACATACCACAGGTTGAATTTAATACATATTTTCATAGTCTTTATTTTCTACTAAACTCAGGAACCAAGTCAATGCTTTCAGAAGTTATTTCTAGGTGATAAACTTAAAAATTAAAAAAACTGAAAAATAACTTTAAAAAGGTAAATCTGAAATATTAAGTAGTCCAGTCACACTGCTCTATCCTGCTTTGCTAACCCCTGTAGTCTTCTAGATAGTCATACACTGGAAACATCCAGTTGTTGTAGTGAAATCTGACCACACTGTACTTCTGGAGCAGGTTTCGAAGCTTCATTTACAAATGTGAAGATGTTGGAGGGTGATAGTTGCCAACAGCAACCTACAAAGGTAATGCTAGTTATGGTCCCCAATCCACTTGGGACTCTAGGTCTCAGGAGCAGAGCAAGCCCCAAATTAAGAACCAACTTAATAACAAAATTCTTCATAATCATTGGAAGCTAAAGATCCACCTCTGAAATTTTTATTTATACTTAACCTGTTGTCATTTTTACTGTACTCATTATCTAGTACAAAACATTTGCAATCCATGTGTGATCCTTCAGTTTCCCTTATCATAAATGTCAGGCAACTGCTACATTAAGCGCCCTGAAAGGTCCAAAGAAATAAAAAAGATTAAGGTCTGCTCTGAATGATTTTACTCTTAATTGAAGAGAGCAAACATATGAAGAAAAGAAAGAATAAATGCTAAACTTATTCTAACTGTAGGAGCAACAGAGTTTTAGAGGAATTGATCACTATGAGCTAGAAGAATTAAGAAAAAAAGCAATAGGGACACCAGGGTGGCTCAGTCGATTAGGCCTCAGACTTCAGCTCAGGTCATGATATTGCAGTTGGTGAGCTGAGCTCCCCATTGAGCTCTGTGCTTACTGACAGCTTGAAGCCTGGAGCCTGCTTTGGATTCTGTGCCTCTCTCTGCCCTTTCCCCACTGGAGTTCTCTCTCTCTCTCTCTCTCTGAAAAATACATAAACTTTAAAAAGGAAAAAGAAAAGAGGTGAAAAATGAGAATGGATAAGGTATGATGGGCCCATACAATTGATTAGTCTGGAGTCTCTGGAACAACCCCAACTGGAAATATTTTTTGTATCGTTGCCTTCATGGGAAGCACTAGAGTTCAAAAATGTAACAACGACTACTACAATATTTAAGAATACAAACTAGTCCAAAGACTCTGAAGACAAAAGGTTATCCAATTTAAGCAAAAACAACCTTGCATGTTTTAACCACTCATTAAGCTGGTTTTTACTGAGCACTTATGATTTGCCCCACACACTGCAGTGAGTGCCCTCAGCTAGCCAGGCTGGTTTCCTGCCTTCACTGAGCTTATTTCTTTCGGGAGACATCTGCATTAGAGTATCTGAATCACTACAATAACAACAGCTTCTGAACACGTACTATGTCCCAGGTACTGCGCTAAACCCCCTTCATATATATGCCATCTCACTTAATCATCTATAAAGGCAGCGCCTAAGATTCCCAGTTCTGTCTTCGAGGAAGACATCCACCTGTCTTCTACCATTTATCTGTCATCTACTGGAGGTCCTATGATAGAGGCTATGAAACATTTTGCTGCATCAAAATGCTACAGATCCTCAACTCTCAAAAACGTTCAAAAGTGGGTAGCACCGTACCGGAAAAATTGTGGCTAGGGCGCCGCAGGCCCAGGGCAGATCAAATCTCCCTGGTGACCGGACGCTACCCGGGGCGAGGGAGCTGCAGCCCCGCCCCCCCTTGGGGCGCCCTCAGGCCCAAGCTCGTTTCCTGCGCATGCGTACGCGCACTGGCCCCGCCCCACTGGCGACGGCGTCGGAGCCATTTCGCCGCCGCCTCCGAGCGAGTTGCGGTGTGTTTCCCGGGTGTCTCTCTGAGGAAGGCCGCGGCTGCGGACGGTCCTAAGAGGGCTGTGCTTTCTGGCACCAGGAGGAGAACGCCGGTAGGGAAGAGACGTCCTTGCCACCCGTTAGGGGCGTGGGACCCCGCGCTCCTGTAGCCGGGCTTTGTTGCGAAGCGCGGGCGGCGGTGGGGGATGGGGGAAGGGGCGAGGCGATCGCCGGGTTCCCGGATTGCGGATTGCACGCGGCTCGCCGCACCACGCTTGCGCTGTCCGGGTCCGCTTTGTGCACCAGTCTTTCCCCCAGCGACGGCCAGTCCTGTGTCCGAAGCGGCCCAGTTCCTCTTCCTCCGGTCTGCGCGTGGCGGTGGCGCTGTTGCCGCCTATTGTAAGGAAGTGGGGGGGGCGGATCACGGGGCGGTGAGCCCGCCATGATGCCGCCACACACACTCCGGGCCCTTCATTCATTGTGGCCGCAAATACCGGGCGCTGTCCCGCGGTCTGGGTGGTAGGGCCGTAAACACGTGGGGCACAGTCTATACTACTACCGCAGGGAGGTTTCGGTAGTGGAAGGCAACGGGAAAAAAAAAAAAAAAAAGGTCTTTGCAGGTTTCGGTAAAATGACCCGAGAAAATGGGAGGCGGTGTCATGGGAGAAAGCTGCTTTCATTAGGGTGGCAAGGGAAAGCGTTTCGGAGGAGGTAGACGTTTGAGCTATCTCGGCCCTTAGGTTGAGAATGCGTCAGCTATGAAGATTAGGAGGAAAAGAATTGCCGAGTTAGAAGGGATTAGTTAGCGCTTGAGAGCAGAGATTGGGAAGAAACAAAGGGTCTGGATATGGTGAGACGGTATTAAGAGAATGGGTTTTATGGCCAGGGTGGAAGCGGGGATCTAGACCTCTGAGACCTAGGACGTCATTGCAGTACTCCAGGGGTGCGGTAGCGACGGCAAGGGTTGGAGAGAAGCGAATGGATTGCAAACGTATTTTGGAGGCAGAAATTGCGTAGTCAGGAGGCAGACTACCTGGCTTGGAATTCTGGGTCTCCCGGTTAGGAGCTTTGTCTTCTCCAGGGCAGGGTATTCTTTGTCTCGGTTTATTCATCCGCAAAGAAAGATAATAAATACAGTCTTATCTGTACAAATATCGTAAGGGTTAAGGAAGGTAGTTCGTGTAGATGATCCTTTACGGTCTGGCGCATGCTGAGTTCTCTACAACGGGTAACTATGGAGGATCTTGCGGGAGCGTATGACTCTCAGATGGCGGTGCCATTTTAGGATATGGAAACAGTTAGGCCAAGGGGAGGAGGAACAGATTTGGGGAGGAAACGTAAATTCTGATTTGACTGAGATGTCGAGTTAGCATATGCGCATTAGTGCGGCAGTTGGATGAACTTGGTTTTGGAGCTTAAATAAGAGAAAAGAGTAAATTTTCAGGGTATATTTGGGCATCATTAAAGTATAGTTAACGTTGAATATAATGGAGTCAGATGAGACTGCTAGGGAGGAAGGAATTTGATAGTGTAGTCCTTCATATTTCATGTTATTCATTCACCCTGAGGGCTTATTTTTTTTTTAATTATTCAAGGGTGGAATTTACAGATAGACCTCATGAGCGTTCCACAGCTTTTCATTCAACAGGATTTCCCCAGGGTTAGCTTGTGGCTACAGAATAAACAACTTTGTACAGGGGTCAAGTGTTATGACGTTAGATTTAGGTACTAACAAAATGCACTGAACATTAACAAGAAAGGTGTAATGCTAGTAATAGGGTTTTTTCTCACAGCAAACTAGTTTTATTTTCTCTAGATCTAAATTTGGTCTCAGGTACAGTATCTTTTAATTTAGAATCAGATTTTAGACTCCTAGGCTTCATAACTTTTTGCTCTGTTTATAAACTGGGTTTAGAGGGAGAGTGCCAACATGGATGTTGTACTTCAAGAAAACTTAATATCCCCAAATTTTAATGAATAACAAGGCCTAAAGGAGAGATTTGGTGCTTAAGTTAACAGTACCGAATTCTTAGTGTAATATATAGTATATAACTCTGAGGACAGTGTACTAGGAGACATTCTTCAGAATGAGAGTAAACTGATTTATGACAAACTGATTGAGACCATTTCTTTTTTTTTTTTTTAAATCTTTTTTTGAGACAGAGACAGAGCATTAGCAGGGGAGGGGCAGAGAGAGAGGGAGACAAGGAATCTGATACAGGCTCCAGGCTCTGAGCTGCCAGCACAGAACTCTTCGGGGGGTTCGAACCCATGAACCGCGCGAGATCATGGACCTGAGCCCAAGTCGGGCGCTTAACCGACTGGGCCACCCAGGCGCCCTGAAACCATTTTCTTAATATAGTAGTTTGGTTTGAATTTATGCCTCCACAGTGGGTGACTTAGAAAAGTTACCTAAACGTTCTATATCCCAATTTCTTCCTATGTAGAAAATGTTTAGTATATAATTTTATCTGCCATTGAGGATTAAGTGAGTTAAAATGTAGAACATAGGCCTTTCATAAAATGTAGTTTAAATCGTGTAGTTTGTTATCGTGCTCTTTCATATAGCATGTCATAGACCTTCTGTTAAAATTTTGTTATATGCAGTTTTAATAGTAGCAAGACAGAATATCCTGTATTTAACCTAGGTTTTGAGTTCATTCCAGTTACTGGTTATTTCTAGTGTTTGCTCTTAGAAATAATGCAGTTTAACTTTCGTTTTTTTAGGTCCGAAGAAGACTTCTGAATCATGGGTGATGTGAAGAATTTTCTGTATGCCTGGTGTGGCAAAAGGAAGATGACCCCATCCTATGAAATTAGAGCAGTGGGGAACAAAAACAGGCAAAAATTCATGTGTGAGGTACTACAGAATAGTTTCCATTTATGTGATTTTTTAAAAATTAAAAAAAAATTTTTTTAAATGTTTATTTTTGAAAGGCAGAGACAGAGCTCGATGGGGGAGAAGGGACAGAGAGAAAGGGAGACACAGAATATGAAGCAGGCTCCAGGCTTTGAGCACAAATCCCAACACGGGGCTCAAACCCAGGAACCGTGAGAACATAACCTGAGCTGACACTCAGCCAACTGAGTCACCTGGGCGCCCCTATTTATGTGATTTTTTTTTTCAGGCTTATTTTGGTGTTAAGAGAACAGTGTTTCCTGTTTGGAAATGATAATATTGTCACTTGCCTGCTGTTTTATTATAAGTCATTTTCATGTGAGCATTACTTTTAAAACATAAAACAATCTGATAGGTAAATTCTAGCAAGAATATGGGTCCTTCTTAACTGACACAGTGCCAGTAGTGCAGGTAGAAAAGTAAAGTCAGCTGTTTGTGGTTTTACTAATTCCTGTAGAAAGTAGAGCAATTCTTGATTGCTTCAGGTCAAATCAGTTAAAATAAATGCAAATGGAGAACTTGTTCTTGGGTCTTATAAAATCAGATTTTAACGTGGAACATTCTGTTACATGAGAAGAGAATAACAGCCACAAAAAGTAATAGATTTTAGATTAGTTTATCATTGGAAAATACAATTGAAGTTTTTTTTTTAAAATAAGTCAGCCTATGAATTCCCTGTATATGTTATTTTTAGTGTTTTTATAGAGTATATCTTCAACATTTAACTGTTACCCCTTAATTCGTAATTGAATTATGATTTTTCTAAATCCCAGAGTTACCTGGGTCAGTCTTTTTTTTAATGCCTTTTTTTTAATTCCTGACCGTTAAAGGTTCGAGTGGAAGGTTTTAATTATACTGGCATGGGCAATTCCACCAATAAAAAAGATGCACAGAGCAATGCTGCCAGAGATTTTGTTAACTATTTGGTTCGGATAAATGAAGTAAAGAGTGAAGAAGTCCCAGCTGTTGGGGTAAGTACTCAAGGCCCAGCACTTGAAACGTATGTTACAAGGTCATGCCTTGTCTATATTGTACCACTAGATAAATTGGAGAATTTTTTATTACATGCCATATGGAGACATGGGGTGATGATTTTTCAGCGTTTTCAATATATTAATATGTTCGTTAGTGAACTTTAGAATCTTGTTTTCTTAGAGCACTGGGATGTGTTCCTAAGATTTGGATTTCATTCTCATTATGTACCTTACTTGTAGGCTTTGGAAACTCCTTTAATCTATGTATCTTGTGGCTTTATATATTTTATTCCTTCATAAACTAATTTTCAGAGCCTGTTGTGCTTTGTGTACTTCCAGAGATAACATTTTAAACAATACTTTAAGACACTGTTTACTCCCATTGACAGTTCTTTATTACAGCAGAGAGAAAATTGTTTCGTGAAATGACATATCATTCTTACGATTTTTGATACAATGATAATTTTAATTATATTATGTAATTATGCAACATAGACTCCTGTCTAGTACTGATTTGAAGAAATAAACGGTTTAAAAATGAAAATTTTAATTTTTATTAAAGTAGAATTGACACTATCAAAAGATTCATATCATGATTTACAGTAAATACCTAAGGTAGCTTAAATGAAATATTCAGCCTTTATAAGACTTACAGAAATAATATATATATTGATTTCAGCAATTTATTGTCACTGTGTTTGTATTTTGATTTGTTTGTAAAGGTTAATATATATGTTTTATTTCCATCTCATTCTGACCCAGAAGTTAGAAGACTTACTTTCTAGTATATTGTACTACTAGATAATTGCAGAATTGTATAACATTGGTTAGTCAGTCTGTAAAATGAAGAGATTAGAGGAGACGATCTTGAAGATTTCTTTCCACCTATGAAAAGAATGTTGCACATATCTTTCTGAAAATTTGAAACATTGTCATCTTCTCTGTTATGACCTATTCTGTATCTTTTAGTCTCTTCCTCTCTCTCAAAGTGTAAGTCTGCTGGTTGCGGATTCTTGTTAATTTTCCTTCTTTATTATTTTTTTAAATGTTTGTTTATTTTTGAGGGAGGAGACAGGATGCGAAGCAGGCTCCATGCTATCAATGCAGAGCTTAATATGGGGCTCAAACTCAAACTGCGAGATCACTTAACCTCTGAGCCACCCAGATGCCCCTTAATTTTCTTTTATGTGAAAGTTTTTTCATTTTACTGTCTCTCTTGCATATATAGTGCTGAATGTATAATTCTGGGGTGCCAGTTTTCTTTCAGCACTTTCAAGCTCCATTGTTTCCTTCCCCTGTTTGATGATAAGTCAGTTATAATCAAATCATTTCCTCCTATATGTAATGTGTTATTTTCTTTGGTAGTCTTTATTTGGTTCCCAGCAGTTTGACTATGATGTCATATATGAGTACATACGGTTTTCTTTGTACTTAAATTTTTTTTATGTTTATTCTTTTTTTTTTTTTTGAGTCAGAGAGACAGAGACAGTGTTAGTGGGGGAGGGGCAGAGAGAGGAGACAGAATTTGAAGCAGGCTCCAGGCTCTGAGCAATCAGCAGAGCCCAGCGGAGGGCTTGAACTCACAAACTGTGAGATCATGACCTGAGCTCAAGTCCGTTGCTTAACTGACTGAAGCACCCAAGCGCCCCTGGTTTTCTTTGTACCTAATCCTGCTTGGGATTTGCTGAAATTCTTGAATCTATAAATTTGTCTTTTATCAAACTTGGGGAATCTTTGGCTATTATTTTTTCAAATTTTTTTTCTTTCTCATTTTTTTTCTCTGCTACTTTTGGGACTCATTATATTATCCCAAGGGTCCCTGAGGCTCTTTGCTTTTTTCTGTTCTTCGGATTGAATGACTTCTATTGATTATCTTCAAGTTCACTTATTTTTTTCTCTGTCAACTCCATTTTGCTGTTAATTAGTTCATCCAGTGAACTTTTCATACATTGTCTTTCATTTCTAGAATTATCAGGCAGTTAATTTCTTTTAACAAATTTTATTCTGTGGTGGCATTTCTTATTTCATTCGTGGTAAGCATATGTTCATAATATGAATGTGAATTTCCTTTATGTTATTGAGCATAGTTATAATAGCTGCTTTACAATTTTTGACTACAAATTCTAACATCTGGGCCTAGTTGGGATCTTTTGAGTATATTTTCTCTTGAGGTTTGTTCACCTTGTTCTCTGTGTATGTCAAGTAATTTTGGATTATATCTTGGTCATTGTGATAATCATGTTGTAGATATTCTATTTAATGTTACATTTCTTGAAAGATACTGATTTTGTTGTTGTGCTGTCAATTTGGCTGAAACTCAATCTACAAACACTATATTTTAGGTAACTGCTCAAATCGCTCTTGAGTTTTCTGATCCATGCTAGGTAGCTTAGAGTCTATCCTGTACATGTGTTGTTCAGGGGTTAGCCAATGATTTGGGCAGAATTTGTACACAGAATTTGAGATTCTTTCTTTTCCTTTCTAGGATTGTCTCACTTTCTAGAAGTGTTTGTTTCCCCAAGCTCATATTGTCTGATTATTCAGGCCAGAAAGACTGGGGAGTTTTAGCTGCTTCACATGGTCTTCCCTTAGGCTAAAAGCCATAACAAACACAAATTACAGCCTTTGCTGTTCCTGGGTTTCTCATTTCCCGTCATCTCCAGAATCTGCCAGTTTTTGTTCACATTTTAGCACCTGCATATATTCATAGGGGTCTTTGGGGTTTGGGGGGATTTCTTTTTGTATTTTTTCGCCCTGGATTTCATGTTATCTGCAGGAAAGCCAGTCTAGTCTATGCATTTGCCACTTTATCTCTGACTTCCTCTTTTCTAGCTACACTGGCTTTCTTGACATTCCTCAATCTTCCAGCACCTTTCTACCTCAAGACTTCTGTATTTCTTATTCCTTTTATTGTTTCATTTTTCTGAATAGCACTTACTAACTTCTAACCCAGTGCTTGTCAGCCGAAGGTGATGTTGTCCCCAAGGGATATTTGGCAATGTGTAGAGTCATTTTAGTTGTTACAACTGGGAGGAGGTGTCAGCAATACTGACATATAGTAGATAGAGGCCAGGGATGCTACCAAACATCCTACAATATACAAGATAGGCCCCTACAACAAAGAATTGACCAGCCTAAAACGTCAGTCATAAAGGTATGTACAAAATGTCTCTTCATACAAGAGAGTATGAAAAACTCACTTTTAACCTAATTTTCCCCGACCTTCATATGAGAACAGAAGGTCACATGGGCAGGATTTTTATCTGCTTTTTTAGTTCATTGTTGTGTCCGCAGCATTAGAATAGTTCTGGTCTGTACAGCAGGCACTTACTAAAGTTTTTTGGTTGAATGAGTGAATGATGAATGGGCAGACTTGGAAAAAGGCCATACATATAACAAGCCAGTTTCTACTTCGAGCTACCACCTTTATCTCACCTCTTCATCCTTGCCAAATCCTTGTTCATGTCACTTATTTCATCTAGTATTTGCCCATTCATTGCACAAATTGCTCTTGCCAAAAGTGGCCTATTTGTAAATGCAAGTGATACTTTTAAAATGGGGGAGGGAGAAATTTCAAATGTGTATAGAAGTTGGGGTGCCTGGGTGGCTCAGTCGGTTAAGCTTCTGACTTCAGCTCAAATGTGTATAGAAGTAAGAATAGCATTACAAACTCATGTTGTCATAATCCAATTGGAATACTTTTCACGTAGCTTCTCTACTTTCTTTCTTCCAGATTATTTTGAAGCAGATTTATCTGTTACTAGTTCAGTTTGTATCTCTAAAAGATAATCCTTTTAAAGAACATAACAATTTCGTTATCATGCCTTAAAATTTTTATTTATTTACTTTCAGGGGGAGAAAAAGAGTTATTGCGAGAAGGGCAGGGTAGGGAGAGATAATCCTGAGCAGGCTCCACACTCCATGAGGAGCCTGCTGCAAGGCTCCATCCCAGGACGCTGGGATCATGATCTGAGCCAAAATCAAGGGTCAGACACTTAACTGACTGAGACACCCAAGCACCCCAAACCTAAAAAATTTTAAGACTTATTTCTTAATGTCCTCAGACATCGAGTTAGTATTCAGATTTTCCTGATTATTTCATAAGTCCATTTTTTACAGTTAAATCATGCTCCAAATGATGTCCTTATACTGCAAGTGATTGATACTTCTTTTAATCACCCTCTTTCTCATTTTCCTTTGCAATTTGTTGAAGAAAGCACATCATTTACTCTTAATTTTGTAAAACATTTCTCTGCCCCGTTTTCCATAATTGGTAGTTAGATCTAGAGACTTGATTAGACTCAGATTGGATTGGAGTGGAAGTGCAAGAACAAGAAAACACCAGAGGTAATGTTCTGTACTCTGTGAGGCTATCAGGAGGAGATACATAATGTTGTGATATTAGCAGGGGGTGATGATCGCTCTGATTTCATTAGCAGTTTCCTTTGATTTTTAGCTGGAATACTTTATAAAAAGAAACCTCTCGTCAATAATTTAGTCACACCAAGTTACAAGTTAGACAGGGAAAGTGAGATAAATGTTTTATAAATATCAGTTAAGTCCTTCTGTTCTAACAAGTGGTTTAATTTAATTAAATCCAGTGTTTCCTTACTGGTTTCTCTCTGGATAATTATCCAATGATATAAGTGGGTATTAAAGTTCCTTACTATAATTGTACTGTTACCTTTCTCTTTTACATCTGTTAATATTTACTTTATATATTTTGGTGCTTCTATGTTGGGTACCTAAATATTTACAAATGCTTCATCTTCTTGTATAATGACCCTTTTATCATGATATAACACCCTTTATTTCCTCTTATTATACTCTGTTTCAAAGTGTATTTTGTCAGGTTGATACCCCAGACACACAAAAATGTTTGTTTACATTGCATGGGGTATGTTTTTCTATCCCTTCACTTTCACTCTGTGTACTTACATCTAAAGAGTATCTCTTGGATCACTTCTGACTAGCTGCCATCTTGCTCCCCCGTCCCA